GTAAGTTAGTGCACCTTTATATGCTTTCAAGTATGTGGCAAGGACTGAATTACAGCTTGAACCTTTTATTCATCTATCACAATGTGATCGATCTTTTTTTAAAGCAAACTTTGTTGTCAAAGCACTCCATATCTTTTTAGAAATATCATGCTACCTTAACTCATGCATCTTTTTAGAAATATCATGCTACCTTAACTCATGCATGATATCATTTCCATATCGCTTAGCAACGTAATGTGAGTAGTAGATTTTTCTCTATCTAGGCTTCACAAGCCCTTGGTTCCTTCTATGTTAGAACATATTCCTAGACTCATGCTTCATTAAAACAATGTTTAAAATTTCAAGAACCTATTTTTCTTTTAACACATACTTGATTTTCATATTTTAGATTCCATAATTATCCCTATTTAGTAACTCTATATTTAAATAGAAAAGCTATATGAAAAAGATGATTCAATATTGAGAGACCCATGCACTAACTAATGCTTAGCATTAAGCACTTCTCATTTTGCTATAATGTCATTAATAAAACAATGACAATTATTCACATAAAGCGAAACTAAAAGGTCCTTATGTTCACAATCAAATTCCTTTTTTATGTGTTTGACTATCACTAATTGATTTCATTGTGCAAAATTTATTGTTTTAAGGTAACTCATTAATTCATATCTTAAAACACCCACTAATCATAAAGTTATCTTTAATCAATATCATAAATTGATTGAAATTCACATGACAAGTCTCATACAACTTGTACATATTGAACACATAAACAAGTTCATTGTTAAACATACTCATTGTTTATTAAACTATGTTTTCAATTGCTACATATCTTGTGTCTAGTGATTAGGATGGAATCCATAAATTCCTATGATAGTTCCACATTCTTATTAGCCATCCATAAAGATCCAAGAATTTTGTGTGTACCACTATGGAGACTTGGGCTGATCAAGAAGCTCACATTCCTTCTTACCTCTTTCTCACAAATCACTATATTGTTTACCAAAGTTGTAACAATAGGATGTTTCCTTTCATTAGATATCCAAAGTTCTTTGAAAATATTCTTTTGTCTAAGTGTAAAGATTGTATTTATTTAACATCATGTATATGTTGTGACACCTCCAATCCCACATTGAAAAAATGTGAGGATATGATATGATATATATGTATAGATCTAAACTCAAACTTATGAGGAACCTTTTGTGGGACAAAGCTAGAGGTGGCAAAACTGATATGAGCTTAAAAATCTATTCGAATCAATCCATGATCGAACCCAGATTAGCCCGAATTTATCAAAAAAAAAAAAAAGTCAAAGAACACAACCCAGAAAAATCTGATCTAAAAATATCTGAACCTGAAAAAATCCAAATATAAAAAAGCTCGAAATTGATACAATCCAAGTCCATCATAATCTGAATCCGTAATGATCCAAACTCGAAATTGATTAGATATAAAACCTATAAAAAATTGATATTATAACATGAGAAAATTGAAACTATAATTATATGATCTTTTAAATAAATAAAAAATAAACATTTTTCTTAACTAAATTTTAAATTTTAAAAATGTTATTATTGATAATTATTATATAATTATATCAATAATAATAAAAAAAATTAATGTTAAATTTTTAATTTTGATTATAAAATAAATTTAATTTGAAACACACTAATATTAATATCTAATGATTTTTATACTATCATCTCATTATATTTACAATAATTATCAATATAAAACAAAAAATAATATCTAATGATTTTTTAATATGACGCCAATTCTTTTAGTCAATTTGTTTGCAATTTTTATATTTTTATTTTAATATTAAATAAAAAGTAATTTAATTTAATTAATTTATTAATAACTATTAAAATTAAAATTAAAATTAAAATGAGAATAAAATTAATTATTATTGATAACAAATTAAAGTATAACTTAAAAGTATACTATACTAGTATTAATTTTAATACAATTAAATTTTATACTTTATTGATTAAGGTTAATTATATTTAATTACTTACATTTGTTGACTTTAAATTATTAGCATTATATTAATTAATTTAATAATATTTACTATTTAATATTTTAATTGAACATTTGATCAATTGATATATACCCAATATTATTATATTTATATAAATGTTAATGTTAAAATAATATTCTTTTTAATAATGTCTATTATTCAACTATGTGAAATTTGATTATTTTAGTTTTATTTAAATTTATACAATGGATTAGAAAATAATAGATAATATAAAGACAAAATTAATATATAATATATATTTATATAAATATATTATTTTTAAAATGTTAACATTAACATTTTGTAATATTTTTATTTAATAATTTAAAAAATGAAATTAGTTGTTAATTCGAAATTACAAAAATATATTTATAACTTATAAAATTTAGAAAGTTTTCAAACTTGTCTAAACAATAAGGCTACCTAACTCGAATTGAATTGAATTCAAAATAATCTGAACCCAAAATAGCTCGTATCCGAGATGGTAAGAACTCAAAATTCTCCAAATCCAAAAATATTTGAATTTGAAAAAGCTCGAATTCAAAAATATCTAAATTTGAAAAAATTTGAATCCAAGATAATCCGCCCAAAATGAATTCTAATTCGAAAGATTCAAATCCTAAGATAGCTTGATTCAAACCCGCCCGCTTGCCACTTCTAGACAAAACCATGAGACCTTCGAGTCAAAGTAGACAATACCTCGCAAGTTTGGTGTAGGTCTCCACAAACGGTATTAAAGCAGTCACCAATCGAATGGGAGCTAGATGTTACATCATGAGAGACACCTTTAGAATCCCAAAGTCTAGTATAATCTTGGTTCTGTGGATCTGTGTGTACTTTGTATTAGCTTGATGGAGATGTCAAGCTTGAATGAGGGAGATTGTGGCACCTCCAATCCCACATTGAAAGACTATGAAGATATGATATGATATGATATGATATATATATATATAGAGAGAGAGATCTAAACCCAAACTTGTAAGGCTCTTTTTGTGAGACAAGATCATAAAACTTTCGGGTCAAAGCGGACAATACCTTGTAGTAGGTGCAAGTCTCCAAACTTGTGAGATGTCTTTTGTACGACAAAATTGTGAGATCTTCGAGTTAAAGTGGACAATACCTCATAGGTTGATTGTGGATCTCTACATATGTTTAGATCATTCTTACATGCATGTTGCCTCATAAGATCAGCTTTTTAATCTTGTCACCAACCTTTGATAATATGACACACAATATTATCATCATCATTTGGATCCATTCAATTAGTTGCCTTATATCTCTATGCAATTATGTCTAAATCTTTAAAACAATAGGAGTTCTCATGAAAACAATTATATTTTTTGTAACAAAATACAAGAAAAATCCACGAATCAACACAAGTTAAAAAATTATTAAGATTTATCTCAATCATTTTTTTGTGATTTGACCTCCCAAAGTTAATCAAGGATAAAACAATTTAAAAAAAATTCTTAGTTTTAAAAATTTAATCATATTTTTGAAAAACATAAGGCTATTCCAATGCTCTCTCCAAAGCATTTGAATGCTTACTTTCTATTTCAAAATAACATATGAGGTATTTGAATTCCTTGAATAGTATTCAAATACTCTTTTTCTATTTTAGAAAATAACCGTTAATTTTTTTTTAAAAAAAAAAATTTGCTTGGGGCATTTGGATGCCCTATCAACCATTCAAATGCTTGAACTTTAGAAACCAAAAACTCAATCCAAATATTTCAAACAATGATGGAAACTTGCATTTTATATATTCCAACACATTCACAACAAATTTCTACTATAAAATTACACACTTGTATAATACTTTCATAGATTTCCAAATGCATTGAAGTAAGAACTTATGAACATGTCAATAGTTTCGGTGTTTCAAGACAAACATTGAAACAACTAGAAATCAAGCCATCCTAGCTTTGATATCAATGAAGAACAATGTAATAATATATAAATAAGATCATATATTAAAATAATGCGAAAGGCTTACTTGATTTGTTACAACGAAAGCGTTGTTGTAGAAGTGTTGCAGAAGTGATGTCGGCTTGATTCATTAGTCAAGGATAAGATCATGCATCTGAAAATTATCTCTATCCATAGTGTAAGTCCAAACACTTAAGCATGAGATTCCTTAAAAAATTTCCTTTTCTATACCAATCTCTCTCTTTTCCTTTCTTGTTCTGTGTAAATTTATCACATAGTGTTACATATATAAAACTTATCTCATACTTTAGAGAATACTCTTTCATCCTTTATCTTCATAGCCGAATGCCATGCTTTATTCGAGAGAAAGAGACTTGACTTCATTATCTCCACTTATGGCCGAATGCCATGCATAATAAAAAAGAGAGGAATGGAGGCACAAAAGTTTAGTTGTTTTTAAATTCAAAACTCAAAAACTTACTACTACTATTCAGTAGTTATTCAATTAAAAACTTACCCACCCATTATGGGCGCGCGGTTATGCCTACATTTAGATGAGGTCTGGATTTATCACAAGATTGATCTTTTCTATTTTACCTCTTAATTTGGTTCCCCTTTCATTTTCATTTTTGTCCCATGGTAGAATGATTAATACATAGTTTGTTCTGAAATGTTCTGATGTATATGATATATGTAAGAATATTGAAGCAGATTCTTTAACCATCTTCTTATTATGCTTTGCAAGTTCTTTAACAGAGTTGAATCCTCAAAATTTTAGCTACTTTAAGGCGTAAAATTTTGGCAAGATAAAGAATTGATGACAAAATGAGTTGATTGAATGTTAATCTTCTTTTTTTTTTTCTTTAATTTATAGTTATTGTATCATATTCTAAGACATGGATTGCTATTTGACAAGTTTGAATGTTTAAATTATAACCGGCCAACCATTTTACAATGAATTTACCAGTATATAGACTTGGACGGAAGGTGGAAATATTGAAAGGATTCTGGAAACAGAGAAATGTCCGGTCTTTGCAGAGCAAGAAATCTTTTTATTTCCAGTAAAAAAAGAATACTCGCATTCTCTTGGAAATAAGAGTTCTTTCTGCCTCTTGGGAACATTATGAGAAAAGATCAGGATTCAGGAAGATGAACTAATTTTTGGTGAGAGGGCTGCCAATTCCATGGCGCTTGCTAGGGATTGAAACAAACAAAAGGCTGCCAATGACTCCAATGCTCGCAGGCAATACCATTAGCAGCTCTTTGGTCTCCTCTGATGGCCTCGGACAAAAGCAGTTGACAACATTTTTATCAAACAAAGCAATCGCTATAAAAATCATTATAGATACCAAGGCATGGACAAAATCAATGAACTTCAGCCTATACTTGTTTGCCTCGTCTACTGAAAGTTTTACAGGACCATCCATCACCCATAACCCTTTAAATGTAGCCACCCCGTACCGAACCTTGCCCCTTTCATCTCTAAAACTATCCGTGAAAGAAAGAAAGAAACAGAAGCTGGCGCAAAATGCCACAAGGCCTAGCGTCAAGTATTGGCTCACCTGGGTTTTGCATTGCCCTTGGTTTGTTAAAATTGGGGACAGTAATTCGAATGTGAGGACTGAACCTGTAGGCAGAAGCTTGGACAAAAGGGCTGTTCCTTTGAAGGTTTTTCTCACGACTTTTTGTTTTTTGGTTTTTGGTTGTTTTGCTGGTGATGCACATTCCGAAATGGTTTGCTGCTCTTCTTGGACCGTCCCTCCCGTTTCCTCATTCTTCAGAAGGGATTGCCTGTGTTCTACTTTGATGTCCATGACAGAAAATTTTTAGCTTTCTTTGATCTTTCCACAATGTATTTTGCAAAGACACGTTCTATGAGATTGACGGGTTACCTAGGAAAGAAAAGAAGTCCTGAGAAAAAAAAAAACTGAAAACCCAAATAAAATTGTTTATCCATCTGTTTTGTTCCTGGAAGAATTGGTTTTATTGGTTGCAATATTTCAAAGTCAGAAGCCATTTCAGGGAAACCAAAACCGTCGTGAAAGTAAATGCATAGAAGATGTTAACAACATGAGTAAATTTGGAGGATTTATTGTTATTAGAGAGCGGGGGTTACGACTTATAAACCATAATTGATAATTGACCAACCGCTGTTTCATAAATTTGGCTTCAAAGCAAGCATCCTGCATCGTCTCTCCATCAATATAATTATTAACTAACAAGATAAGTCGCTTAATGTTTGGTTCGCTAGTTTTTCCTATTTTTTACTTTCCACTTTTTTGCTATTTGTTTCCTGTTTTTAGTTTATTTTTTATTTTTTCCACTTTCTACTGAAAAAAACAAAAATCAAATAATAAAAACATTAACTAAACGTAACATAACTAATTTATAATAGATAAGCTAAGAAAAAACAGTGAAAATGCTTGCCCTGGTCCAATTTAGAATTGGAAAAAAAAAAATTTGCAAGGATGCATACTGAACCAATCCTCTCAGTTTTGTTAACGGGTAATGACTAACAAGGTAGACCTTAGCTGCTTTTCTTTAGATCCTTTTTCCTAAGTTCGCCGGCAATGAATGGGATGGCCTCCCTTCCAATCCTGATTATGGAGGTGAGAGTTTTTAGGAGAAATTCTTTCACAAAGAATTTTCGGAATAAAACACGTGTGTGCCGATCAACACTAGTTGAAGGTTCCAGAGTCACAAGTTGACGCTTGTGATTCAAAATTCTTTGGGCAAGAAGCATGGGTTGTCAATCAGCAAAGTGAAGCGGGCGATTGGCATTAGAAAGTGTCGATCGATACTACTGCTTGAATTTTGTGTAATCACTTATTTTTCAACTTAAAATTAATTTATTCAAATCTAATGTTATGGTGCGAAATTTGACTCTTATAGCTTTGTATCTAAATGGAAGGTTTTTGAATAGTTCAGTGCAAAGGATCATACAGTCGCCGATCAAGCTGGAAAAAAATCTGCAGTAGCTGGCAGCCCTGTGTCAAATGTCTCGGTGACAGAATCTACTTCCAGTAACATGAAATGCTTTCCCAAGATTCACAACTTGTGGGCCTTAAGCAAACCCTCAGCGTGCAGATTGCAGACCATGAGGGTCAGATTCTAGCAAAACCACAAAACAATGTTCTTTCATTTTCTCAATCTTTTCTTTAAGTTTAGAAATAGAATCACTATTTCTAAGACGGCCCCGGTGCCGAGAGGGTCAAAGTAGACTGCTTGAAGAAGGCATTATAGTCTTGCTTCTCTTTAATCAACTCTTTCCATCGTAAGGGGCTGTCCGGACGTCATACAGTATTATTTGAAGCCTAACCCTTTTGCAACATGGCACTTAGGTCCTTCGAGCTGCACCCGCTCGGTACACAAAGCAACGGCTTGCCCGGAGCCTGTGCGCAGTGCATTATGCATCCCAAAAAGATAAAACTCGGATGTGCAACCGAGGAACATTTCGATTTACATTCAAGGCCAAAGAATTTAAAGCCAAAAGTTGCAAAAGATTCAAAACTTACATGATCCAAGCCCATGTCATCAAAATGCTGAAGAAAGTTGGCAAGTACCGACTACCCTTAATAGTAGCCATCTCCCCATGATTCCTCTACTTGCATCCAGAAAAAGGAACGTTTTGCATTCGGAACCGGCACAGGAGCAGCAAGCCAACATACTCAAAGGCCCATATATGTGCAAAAACAAATAAAGTCAGAAATGCTTACAATTCTTCAGTTAATACAAGTATATTGAAACACTACAAAAAAAACTGCTCTATACTAACGCTCAAAAAATCATCAATAAAACTTAAAAATCCATCGGTAGAGCACAATAAACCTTATACTGACAGTTAAAATATCTATTCCGACGAATTTATAATTATTATTATATCTCTTGTCCGTATAGACCTATACTAACGCTTTTTAAGCTATCGGGATATGTAACAGATATATGCTGATGATTTTAGTCCATCACTGTATGTATAGTTGTTGGTATAGCAACTATTGTATTTTTTGCATTATACCTTTTACTGACGGTTATTCCCATCAGTATAAACTCATATGTTTTAATTTTTTTAACTTATACCGATGATGTCTCCGTTAGTATATCTTTTACCAACGGTCAATGCTTGTTAGTATAGCCTTATGTGTTTTAACTTTTACCGACAGTCCGTGATGATTATCAGTATAGCCTGAAATATTCCAATAATAAACACGTCAGTATAAATTTTAAGGCATTGATAAAGACTTTTTTTTTAATTATATTTTCAATTATTAATATTAATTTATTTATAATTATAATATGATATGGTTATATATAAAGTAAAAATACACAAAAAAGTAAAAATTTTTAATAACATTTGAAATAAAACAACAACCAAATTTTTTTATAATCCACAAATTTAAAATAAGTCAAGAACTATTGTCATTGTACCAAATCAAAAAAAAAAAAAAAAAAGAACATTAATATCTATGATTGAATGCCTACAAATATGGTGCTCAAAGTAAATAAACAACTCCCCAAAGTAAGATGATGCCATTCCAATTGGTCCAAATACCTATTTAATTAGTAAAACCCAATAAAGAATTTCACGTCAAATTAAGCTTTTACTGGTCAATTAACATAGGAAATGTTTCCAAGGTCAAGTCAAGCATACCACAAACTATAAACAAATGAATTCCTGACAACATTTTGTCCATTGTTATAGGCTCCCCCTACTTCAACAACCAAGCAATTGCTTAAGTTGTTCAATTCTTCATAATTATTTGAAGGTCTCTAAAGGGCTATTGTCCACCATCTAGATAAGATGGAAATATAATTTTGTTCATAAGCTGATTATCATTACCTACATATGTAATTTAATAACTGAATTCTAGGATATTTTTTAAACAATGCAATTTACTATTTTATTGTACTTGTACTGAGGTTGTAAATGTGTTGAGTCAATACTTGCAGAGATTTTGATTTTTTTTGTACAAATTGTGTTAACCCCAAACATTCAATCGTCCTAAGCTATTACTTCTTCACAAAACATTCAATCATCAAAACTAGCACTAGTAGAAGGATAAAAGAAATAGGCATGCTCGATGACACAAAAATGAAATGCAAAAAATGAAAAATACTTTTGAGAAATGACAAGAGTCTTGATGCTTCAACTTTGATTCAGCTTTAAAACAAAATGGATGCTGATAGGTTTAAGTTTGTAGAGTCAATGAGAGGTGGAAAGAATTGGTAGAAGATGGAGATCTAGCCATGGGTAGCGACAGGTGGAAAGAGTTGGTGGGAGGTGGAGATTAAGTATGTAGAGTCAGCTAGAAGTGGAGGGAAAGAAAATGATTTAAACATTTTAGGGATTATTCAAGGTGTTTTTGCCAAAAGCACCTTGAATAACTCCATTTAATTTTTTGTAAGGGATTATCCCAAACAAAAAATTGAATAGGGTTATTTGATCCTTCCCTTTAGCATTTTTTGGGTTTTTCAAGGATTATTTAAGGCATTTTCTAGCTAAAAACACCTTGAATAATCCCCTCATAAAAATTGAATGTGATTATTTAAGACGTTTTTTATAAAAAACACCTTAAATGAGATTATTCTTAGTTTAAATAATAGCTTTTAATTATAAAAACACTGGAGTAGTTCAATTGATTAGAGCATACAGTTGTAAACTATAAAGTCGTAAGTTTGATCCCTCTCTCTAACGTTTTTTGGGTTTTTCAAGGGATTATTCAAGGTATTTTTTAGCCAAAAACATCAGCTTTAAGGGATTATTCAAGTCATTTTTGGCTAGAAAATATCTTAAATAATCTTTTTTTCCCAAATAGAAGCCAATAGTTTTTTTGTTTTAAGCCTATATTAACGGTTACATTAATAACCGTCAGTATATAACATATTTATACTGACGGATAGTCATATATTGTTAGAAAAAGTTTATTTATACTGACGGTTAAATAAAATGTTGGTATAAATATGATATATTCTGACAGTATTAAAAATCTGTCAGTAAAAGTCTCTTTTACTGATGCAATTTGACTGTCAGTATAATCAAGTGTTAGTATATGAAAAATTTTTTTTAGTGAAAGCTTTAAGACATTACCTCCCAAGTGCTCATGTAGCTGCCAAGCACAATATTCCAAGCTTGGCAAGCCACATCCATATAACAATAGAAAGTTTGTATATCTCATGTTAAGTATTCAACTTAAAATTAATTGATAGTAAGTAGAAGAGTTTAATTTAAATATAAGATTATAGAAAATATGATATTTATTAGATGTGGGATAACAACATTTAAACCAGCCCAGATCATATGTAGGTGAAGATAGAAGAAACGTATCACATGACAGATTTAGAAAGGGTAATAAAGAAAATCCTGACTTCGATACCATGATAAATAAGAGAATGATGAAATCTTTTATTATAATTACTTGTGTTTTACAATGTGACTCAAAGCATATTTATACGAGGTAAAATGTTACAAAATAAAAATATAATAAATAGAAATAATGACTAAATCAATTCTTATAATTAGTTAAATCAATATCTAATATTCTCTAAATCAATATCAAATTAATTTAGAATATTACTGAAATATTATTGAAATATTACTAAAATAATATTATTAGAATCAATCTAGAATATGATTAGAATATTACAAAATATCATAAACACCCCCACAAACTCAAAATGGTAATGTAGAGGCCAATTTAAGTTTGAAATCTTAGATAAGAAACTGACTAGATGAATTTGATTTGGTGAAGATAAATGCTTTTTGATCAACACTAGTAACAGAAACAAGTCAAAGAGTTTGAACGAGCAGATGGTAACG